TAAGCTAATCAACATTTTCCAACATAGTTAACATTATTGCTGACTTTATCACAATAGAAGACATAAAGAAAAATACAAGTTTTGTGTATGCATAAATAAAAATATTTTTCTATCAATTATGACATTCAAGCAATAATAAAGTAAAAGCACAATAAAATGATATATAGAAATTTCTCAGTCACAAAAAATTTAATTAAGCTATTAATCTTATGAAAACCATAAAGAATCCTTCATGAAAGTATATTATAAAGTAATTTTTGGCATTCTACTTACTTTTTAAATCATCAATAAATTAAAGAAAATTCTTAAACATTATTTTTTCAATAACAGTCTTCTACTATAATAATCTTTTTGAAATTAAGCATTTCAAATAAAACATTAAAAACAAATTATGTGGACTGATTTGAACTTTTGATGAAATCATACTTCTGTATCTATAATAATGTGAAATTAAACTTTTTCCTCACAATGTAGGCCTTTTATAACAAGTGTTATTCTTTTCTCTGACACAAACACTGTGCTATCACACAGTATCCACATACTGTATCCATATATTACATGGCTACCAACAGTAGACTTCAAATAGATGAAAAAATTATGTTTGTGACAAAATTCTAGGAAAGGGAATGGTAAAGTGAGAGAATAATTTCTAACTTTCTAACTCTGGGTCAATGGATTTGGGTACATTTAGATAGACACACATATTTGCACGCTACAAGTGTGCACATGTGTATATATATTTATATGTGTTACCCAAAACATATGGATTGTGTAAGCATTTAATCCACAATTTTACATTTATGAAATTTGATAAGGGATTACTTTATCTCTACTTAATTTGATGTAAAGCCAACAAAGTCTCTGTCAACATTCATTTTAATTAATCCAATAATGTTAACTGCTGATAGCTTCATTCTCCTTGTTTCCTGTTGGCAACCAGAAAGGTAATTCTCACTCTAATTTAGCTCTCAGGGTGCCATCCACGAGGGATTGTCACCTTGCTGTGGATTGTGACCTCTGATCCCACCACTTTCTTCCTATAACAGTCCTACCTTTGCATATTTAAATAACTTTGTACGTGGTTATAAGGATAAAAGCAGTGAAATGTTAGGCTCTGCTGCGAAATGTTCCATTGTTTCTATGTGTCTAATTGACCTTTCATGTTACCAAGAAAAACAAACCAATAGGTTTCTTAGCATCCAGTCCAATGCAATCTTTATTATTAACATGCTAAACATGTTTCTTTCAAGGCAATGACACCTAAACACTGCTAGAAGTATCAAAATGACTTCTCATTAATAACCATTATATTAATCACTGTTGCCCAAAACTAGAATCTGACTGCGAAATCCCCTGGTGGAAATTGCTATAATCGTTCAAAGTACAGGAATGAATATTTTTCAGCATAATTACTGCTGTCGTCTTACTGAAAAATATCCCATTAGATGGCAGCTTTTAGTTACGTAAATCGTGTTGATTAATTTTTAGTTTCCAGCATTTATATGACATTGCACAAGTAAAGATCTTTGATAATTTAAATGGTTAGCTGAGCAATTATTAAAATAACTCACAGCAATTCAAACATTCATTTACTTACTAGAAGTGCCATACATCATTAACTCCTGATTAAAACAAAGTTGGCAAATTGCAAGTGCTGAACTGATCACTTTGATACGTATTTCATGGTGTTTCATTAAAACTATTTGTGTCATTTATGATGCCTTAGATGCAAAGATAAAACTTTAGTATAAATGTTTCAAAGCAAAGGATCTAAACAATAGTGGCAACATGGCATCTCAACCATGTGCTCAAGTGCATACCTGTGGCTCTATGCAGGCAATTTAAATGATCTATATCATTACCATTTTTATCTATTCCAGTAGCTCTTTTACTTAAAACAAAGTTTCGGTAAGAGAAAAGAGTAAGTTCTTAGTCTAAGTAAGACTTAGTCTTACTTGTATAATTTATGTTTTCATTGACTTGTCTGAAGCTTCATCTTCACTGTGAATTCTTAGATAACTTTCAGTTTCTTTACATGTAAATTGAGAAGATAACAGTGCTTAGCTCATAATGCTGTGCTATAGGATAATATGACTCAAGAAACATAGATTTGTCTAGATAACACATGGGATGTACTAAGCAATAAATCATCCTCATATCAAATATCTATTATATTTCAAATATATGGCCATAATGAAAAGATAAATGTTTTATACCTGAAAATAAACATCTTTTGGTTCTTAATGTCTCTCTACATTAATATTTACTCCATTTTTATTCAACTTTATAGTTACTATAGCATTCAGTCTGGTATCTAACATAGAATAGATGTTCTCTTACAATTCTTTTAATTGATTCTTTTCTAGCCCAATCTGATATTTTCCTTCCTCTACCCCTCCCTCATGACCACCACCATGCACTTCCCATGTATTTACCTTCCATTTTTAAAGGCAACCTAAATTAACTTTATTTTTAAAAGCACTGAAGGTTTAAATTGTAAGAAATATCAGTCTATATCAATTTTCCACTCTTTGATTAGTACCATCTACTAAACGTACTATAGAAAGTTGACCATTTCATGTCTGCTTAAATACCTGAAATGGCAAGTACACTGGCATCTATATCAGCAGGTTTTCCATTTTAGACAGCTCTATTTAGAAACCTCCTCTTTGAACTGCCTCCTGATGTAATTAAATCTGTACCCGGAAGATTTTAATCTATATGACATTGTGACTTAAAGATACAGTGAGTCTATTTCTTTACATTTTTAATATTAAATAGAAAGTCTGGGCTATACATTCTCTGAGGAGAATGAAGTTCTAATATTTGGTATTTTTGTGATTCTTTTTTTGACCGTTAGCTACCTCTCTGAAGTGTGTCTACCATGATTAGCCTCCAGATCCTTTAACATGGTCATTCTTTAACAAAGTGTGCTTCAGTTCGGTAAGTCATATCAAAATGTGAATCAGAATCAACAACTACAATAATACATTATGCAGATAATAATAGCTACCATTTAATAATGTCTTAAGTACCAGACAATGTTGTAAGGGTTTTGTGTGCATTATTTCATTTAATCTTCACAGCACTTCCTTGAAGTAAGTGTGAAGCAGTTTGCTATGCCCTGGTTACTAACTTGTCTGAGTTGCATGAGACTGAACACATTCATGCATAGCAAATTACATGAAGTGGATTGATTGCTTGATAGGCAGCAAGGGAAAACAGAAGTCTAGGATTCAGTGTGAACTGGTCCCCCAGTGCTCAGGCAATTCTGTGGGGTGGATGGAGCCTTTAATGCATGTGCCCAACTTGTACAATAGCTGAGGGTACAAATGGGGCAAAAGGCAGCCTGCTCCAGGTTACATACCTCGATGTCACATAACTCACCTGACCAAAGCATGGCTGTTCAAGCCAGCTTCCCTCTTATCTCAAGATGTTGCATTCCTAGCATGTAGTATAGGTACTCTTTGGAACTACAGATGAGAAAGTGAGAAGAACTGGGTTTGCCCAAGACCACTCAGAGAACTGTCCTGCAGTAATTCTCTTACTGCTTCATTTCATGATGAGAAACTGACCCTTGGAAATCTTGAATTTATCATGAACTTTCCAAAGCTCAGGATCGATGAATCTTCTTTTACATTTATTAGCTTTTATTACCTTTCCCATATAGTCTCATTTAAAAATGTTAACATAAACTTGCTCCCCCTGTATTAATTGCTTCATTCTCCTACAATGTCCAAATATTTATTTAAACAAGATTTTAAAACTTACCTTGCATTGTGGAGGTAACTTAAAAATTTAACTATTAAATTCCAGTGAAAGTTTCTACTGTTACTAACTCATAATCTAATTTCTGCAAATAAAATATATTGGTCAATAGTGCCATCTAAAAGTCTGCAGACAAAATTTTTACAAATAACTTCTATTTTAATAGGCTATATTAACATGATAAGTCTATTTTAAGTACAGTTTTTCAAACACTGAACACCTTTGTTGGATTAAATGTAACTTAATAAATATTAAGTTATTTATCCAATAACTTAAAAATACTGGGAGTATTTTTCATACTCCCAGAATTAAATGAAGCAAATATATATTTACACATCTGTGAAAGTAAATGTTTATTCAGCCTACTTACAGTGCTCAGAACATTTGTCACAATCTGCAGGGGAAAGAGATATAATTTTATAGAGTTAATTTATTTGAAAAGTTACACATGTTGCATAAATCACCTGATCTATTTTTGTAATAAGCAAGGAGATAAAACATGATATTTCTCCAGAAGGTAGAAGACTGAGATTAAATTGGCAATTTTGTTGGAATAATAATGTTACTTCTTAAGTTAACTTTAGGTTTACTCTTGGTTTAAAATTTAGTATTCAGGAAGCTTAATAATCATCATTTTAAAGTTCTAAATTCACATTATAACACAGCGGGGAGGGGGTTCGATGGTTGTTCTCCTTAATTTTAAATTCTGAGGTGATAACATTAAAGGAGAAGATATTCTCATCAGAAATAAAATGAGTGATATATGTAACTTCCATCATCTGTTGGAATAGTCACACATTCTCTGAGATTTTCAGTGTTGTGACCAATTCCCCATTTATCCCTGAGAAGCCTTTCCACAAAGCATCTAAATTGTTGGTCAATACTGAATTTCTAAAATTCACCATTTACTCTTTGCCAGATCATTATGTTCTGCATGATTGTAATATTACAAAAAGGAACCAGGACAAATTATTAAACTCGATGTTTATGCAAAAGTGTGATTTCTGGTCAATAAGAAGATAGAAAATTAGCCAAGGCTGGCAGCTTGTTTTCCAAAATCAATTCTAGTGAAACTCCAAATATGAAACGTAAGTAAGGATTCCAGGAGCTAACAACCATCATCACAAAATAGTCCTTTTGTAAAACTCCCAGAAAGAATAAAGGATGTTTTTATCTAGATATGTGACTGAAACCTGACGAGCAGAATTGCAGGAGAAATCAAGAAGATACCAGTGCTGGAATCCTTGAGTTACTTTCAGATCCTAAATGGGTAAACAATTTATTTGAAGATGAATTGACTGATCAACTTCTATAATCACTCCTCCGAATCCTTTAGGGTATAGATTTTTACCTAGGTGTGAGGTCTGATACTAATGCTGTTTCACCATAATGAGTTAAATGTACAGCTCTGCTCATCGTTGTTGCCTGGTAGAGTAGCTTCAAATAGATAAAATCAACACTGAGACCTACCCCTAGACCTTTATCCCATACTGCAAGGAGAGTGGCTGACACCCCAAGAGAAAATGAGATAAGGGTTAAAAATAACTAAACACTTGCATAAGAAAACCTCCTCAAAAGAACTACATCGAACTGAACAATCTACCTAATCTGTCACTGAGTTACAGAACAGATGGAATACAGATTTAAAATAAGCCTATTAAATATCTTCAGGCATGATAATAGTAATATAAGATTACTTTCACCATTCATCCAATGCAGATTAATTTCTGTAGCTTTGGGTTTGCCAAAACCAAAGAAACAGTAGCAAAATCTTTGTCACTAAAACCAGAAGCAATCTATCATAATCAATGAAACAGAAACAAAACAACACAGTTTTTTGTCTGTTTATTTCATTGATTTTTGAGCCCTTGCATTTTGAAAGAGTGATGGAGGAGACAGCTGCATTCAAACTTTAATTCTTCTGTAGAATTTTATTTTAAAGTTACTTACATGTATTACTCAGAAAAATAAATATATATCATACATGATAATCCATAGATTTTCCTCCTCCATCACTGTTTCTTTCTCCTAGTTCTCTTCCTACATCAATGACTTGAAAACATTAGGCAGTTACTTCTGATTCTTCTGAAATATATGCTCCACGAGGACAGAAATTTTCTGTGTATTGATTGTAGTTTCACACTGGCATGTTGGAAACTTTCTTCAAATGTCTTGCTCTTCTTGGACACAGGTAGAAACCTGATAAAATAATAGAACTATTCTATGTGCCTTAATAGAAGGTGGAGAGGACACTCATCCAATGGCAGACGTTCTAATATCAGAGTAAGAGAGAGGGTGGAGGGCTCAATAGTTCAATGCATATGTTATACAGACCTATACCTTATTTCTGCTTTTAGGCAAAACTTCTGTTTTCTAGTCTAGAGTCTCTTGGGGATGTTGCAGAGTCCTTCTTGTCTGAATTCCCTTCAGACATTCTGAAGGCTGTGGCTTTAGCTGCTCCTCTGCCATGTAGGTGTCTTTATCTCTCTTATGACATAGAAGTTATTTGTCATTAGCAGTGTATACTTTTTTCTTTTTGTTTCATATTTATTGTTATTTATGAATTCGATGTGGGTCTCAGAAGAGAGAGCGTAGAAAAAACCGTGGTAGGTTTGTCACGCATATTCACAATTTTTATGAAATTTTTTGAATGTAGCCAAGTTTTCTAGTTTTTATGCCACTATTGAGCTGCCCTTTTAAAAGGCCATTCTCTCAACCCATCAGCTATGTTCACTTCAATCTCTAATAAGTAGGGAGGGGCATTAGGTTCTTTACAGGACCATCTCAAGCAATGGCAAAGGAAGGGCGGTTAAAAACAAACAAAAAAAAGTTGTGTTTTCTCCTTTTTAAAACACAACGGAAGAGAAGCCAGAGAGAAGTAGGATATGGAGGGTTATGCCTGTCAGTTCCAGGGACTGATGTTTTACATCTAGGTCTATAGGCATCATGTTAAATTTGAAAAACAAGCTGACAATTTTGAAAATGGTTGTATTTTACCATTCCATTAAATAAACAAAAGAAAAAGTAATGAAATATAAAATGGGAATGTGAAAATATAGTCTCAGATTATAGAGATGTAATAGATTATGCAGCATTTTTTCTTCTTTTCTATCTGATTGTAAAAATTTTCTTGGTTGCTTCAAAAAATGGTGATATATAAAAAAGCTACCGAGAAAGAAATTAAAGACGATGAAATGCACAAGTAAATGTGCCATTCACTGTGGTAATATACTGGTAGAGAATAGATTGAGCTCTGATCAGTTAGTAAACAAAAGAAGGCACAGCGAATTTCACAGCTTTTCTAATCAGGAAGAACATAGCCTGCTAGTTACTTAGGGGAGTTATATTTTAAACTTTTTATTGACTTAAAATGTTTCAGATGTCAGCAAATTTCTTACCTGTGAATCAATACTTTCAGAAGAAATACAGTAGGGTTTGTAGGGAAGAAAAATGATTTTTGAGTAAGATAAATATAGTTTTCTTACTGGGCCACATGTCCTCAGAATTCTGTCTTAATTTTTCATCTTTATCGTGAAGGGGTTTAATTGTATGTTGTGTATCTGGCACAGAGATTTTAATAAAAGTTGACACATATTCAGAAGCTGAAATACACTACCATCTCCATCATCTTCCCACTCCTCTTGCAGTTTTTCTATTTTAATCCAAATCTGCATTCCTTTTCCTTAAGGAATTTAGGAAGGTTTAGGTTCCTAAATGTAGGTTTATTGTACAGGTGCGTTTTAGAGTAATAGGTTAATGAAATAACCTATTACTAAAAAGCTTATTTGTATCTTTTCCTGAGATTGGAAGCACCCACAATTTTTGTGTTAATGCTCACAAATATCAGCAATATAGCATACCCTTCCTTTACATCATATTTAACTATACAATTCCAAATTAAAACAACAGAAAAGTAGAAATGTAGAATTCATGTCAATAAAAATTGCACGTTTTACGAACAAATGTGATCTGAACACATCAACCTGATTTATATGCAGAGATATTCTACAGAGTACAGAAAGAAGGACTAACTACAGTTTCAAGGCACCCTTGAAAATAATTATTCCCATGTCCTCCTTCTGCCCTTTTACTTCTTGGTGGTCTTCAGACATTCTTTTTCTTTAATTGCACCAGAAGTAGTAGGGGGTAAGAAGAAGGGGTAGACAAAGCGATTTTGTGTACAGTTATAGATATAGCCTTTTGTAGTTTAATTTTTGAAACTGCAGCCTTTGGTTCTTTGAATCTATTTACACAGATGTTGGGAAAGACGGCTTGTAACCATCTACCACTGGCCTTGTGGTCACCTTTGCCTTTAAGCAATCTCTGGGAGGTACATTAAAAATGATTGTATTAGACGCCCATTTCTAAGACACCATGTTTTTATTCCACGTTCTCCTTTTGGAATGTAACCTAACCTCATAATCTTTAGACACAGGCATGTTTACTTAGTATTATATGATTAGTTCATTTGGAGACCTGTAGTTTCCTCATGTTAATATCAGAAGTTTATATAATGTATGAGGGATAAGCTAACTGTACACCTATTATGCTACTTTAATATTTCAAAAATGGTGGAATCAAATTTTGACATATAATATCAACAATTAGCAGTAAAGAGAAAATCAATCCTACCTGATTTTAGGTTTCAGACTTTGATATTAGGAAAAATATTTTCAGATGATAACATTGCATAAAACACTAACTGAAATATAAAAGTGCATGAAAATATATCACAATCATTAATGGCAATATTATCAAAAGTTAACAGCATATTTTATTTTCTCTTTTCCACTATTTTGCTATATTGGCTTCTATAAGAACAATTAAGGAGGATGTAATAAAACACAATTTAAGTTTGTCTTTAAAATCTTGTTATCCCTCTCTCCCTCTCTCCCTCTTTTGACTACACAACAGTAGGTTGTTTCTGATTCTTCTCCTTAGGTATGTATTCTGTTCCTTCAGACTTTGCAGGTGCCCATGTCCTGCTGCTGCGCCAAATGCTTCACCTTACTAAGAGTTTTTACCTGGTCAGGTGTCATGGCTGCCCAGCTGAAGGATGAACACTAAATTGGACAGGGAGATGTGTACAACATGGTTTTCACCCTCCAAGTCAGAGGTGTTACATATATGATGACATCAGGGAACTAGCAATAGTGACTAGGCAGTTTCTCTGCTTTAGCAAACTTGGATCTTGCTCTGTAACTGGTCAGATGGACCACCTGCTGCTATGCCTAATAACTGCAGCTCAGTTATCTACGTCTTTTCTCACCTTTTTACCAGGAAGGAAGCATTGTCTTTGATTGTCCATCAGGCCTAATCCTTTCTCAGCATGATACTTGTTAGCATAATTGCAGAGAAAGATCAAAAAATGTACATTAGAAGTTGTTCCTTTTTTAAAATGTATACAATTTGAATGAAAAGTTACTGTGTGTATTTCACTAATCTAATAGTTAAGGTTTCTTCCATTATCATCTTTTTCAATCTTTATATTGTCATTATTTGTATGTAATTAGAAACCCTTCTCAACTCTAAGAAACTTTCATAATAATCTTTATTAATGATATCATCATCAAGAGAAGTTTTAGGTAAGATTTTAAAGGCTGTTATCTCCAGAAAAAATGAATTATGAACAATTTCAGTTATTTTTGAATCATCTTTAGTCATATTTGAATTGCTCATGACTTACTTAAAAATAGAATGAAAGAACTTAGTTCTGAGGTCTCTTTCCAACAGAATTATGAAGTCACTGAATGCCTGTTTATTCAAGAGAATAAACTGAGAGTGCCAAGTGTACTTGCCTGTAAAGTGAGGTGCCGCAAGCTCAAAAAATAAGACAAAATGGGCAGCAAATGTATGCTTGAACAAATAAAACTTCTATTTACTAGGGTAATTATATATTGAACTTTTAAAAAACAGGGAAAGCCTTAAAATTTTTTATAAATAGAAGGGGAAAAATTATAATTGATATCTTAGTTTAAAAAAATATAACTTTCAAGAGTTTAATGTCAATATTCAAGGTAAAACACAAATATTGAAGAAAAAGATTGTACAAATGGAGAATCAAAATATTATATGGTCATTTATCCATGTACTATTATTAATTTGTTAACTTACAGCATTTAGCTTTTGTCTTTCTGTACAAGGGAAATAACACAGTGTCAGAGAGGTAATTGAGGTTATCTGGGGCTTTGTTTGATCCAACTTGTAAGTACGAAAAAATAAATAATAAGGTTAATAAAAGGACTTTAAAAGCTGCAATTGGTGCCCAAGACACATCTTGACAAGTATAAAAATATAATTAAGATTCCTTGGATATTACTGAAGTGAGAAGTTCCTACTACCCTTTTTATATTTCAGTGAAAATGTAATGTACTTTGATAACATTAATTTTGCCAAGGTCTTGTTATTTTTTAATGTTATTGTTCAGCTCCTTATGTTTGAAGGTACTATTTTCAAAGTCCTAGTTCAAAACAGCTTTTGTTTGAAGCAGAGAATTCCTGGTGTAAACTTCTCTTGTTAGCTTTGCCCAGTGTTTATCATTAACATGGTGGCCATGTCATGAGGCAAAGTAAAAATTCTAAGAAGGTCTTAACCCCAAAAGAGAACACAGTTAACATTTGTTTTCTCCAAGCTAAGAACGTTTTATAAAAATTAAAATAGCCTTACAATTTAAGGTTAGATATCATGAGTTCTTCCTTTTCATTCATGATGGAAAATAACTGCAGATTGAGTGGTTTTTAGTTAACCCATTTCAGACATGCTTTATAATGTAGCTTTGATTTGGAATATTGGAGGATAAATTTACACAAAAAACAGAAACTCTGACTGAACTTGATACTGGTGGGTGAGGGGAGGTCCCCAAACTTGGTGGGACTTCAACCCCAGCCAGTATCCAAGCTCTTGACACCACAGTGAGAAGGATGAGTCAGAAAATAGTGAAAGTAGAGATTCATTGCAAAGTGAAAGTGCACACTCAAGAAAGGGTAGTGTGTGCCTAATCAAGAGAGTCGCACGAGGGAATTTGGGGCTGCTACCTTTACGAGTTTCTTTAACCAAGGTGTGGAATATTCATAAAGATTTTTGGGAAATGGTAGAGATTTCTCAGAACTGTGGTGCCATCCATTTTTATACCAAATATGAATGTTCTCAGACTGTCATGGTGTTGGTGGATGTGTAATTCAGTATGTTAATGAATATATAATGAGGTCCTAGGTGAAACATAGCTCAAATCCAGCACCATGTTGGGTCCAGTTGGTCTTAGCCAACTTGGCCCTCACCCTGGTTTCTGGAGTTTTATCAATTGTGTCTGGTTTATGCAGCTATTTGAACAGAGGGCTTTAGCTAGTCATGTGAAACTGTTGCCTAGGATTTTCTATTCTCCTGCAATCATGGTGTATTTTTCCTGTCTCAAATTCAAATGTGCCTTTCTTACTTTTCTGCTCAGTAAACTGTAGTCTAGGATGTTCTTTTGCTTAATTATTTTTAAGAGATTTGGTAAACCAGTTTCATTTCCCCCAAATACTTCTGAGAATTTTTGAAAGGCTTATACATGTCTCAGCTAAAATCCTGGCACTGGACCACTGACTGCTCAGCTGCATGTTATTCATTTCTTTCTTTAGGTGAGATCTTACAGGCAGCAACTGCATAGGTCCCCCCACATGGTGTCCTAAAGACCAAGATCTAATGTTTAAAACATTTTAAGTCTTAGATATAGCATAAAAGCATTCATAGGATAGAAAACAACAAATTGGACGCAAAATATTAAGTCATTTTTAACCCATATTTGTAATCATTTTGTAGTTTTTCTTATCAGAAATTAGAGACTCAGAGAGAAGAAAGAATATCCGTTTTCATCCAGGCTAAACCATCTTCAATATCTGTCTCACTACTACCTTGTATAAGATCTGCATGTATGAGATCCCATTAAATGTTGCAAAATTTATACAAATGGCCCTAAAAATATATAAATTTGCAGAGATAAATCCACATTTAAAAATAAAGATTTTCAAAACAAGACGTGATGTGTAGAAATGCCTCATAATGTGGCATAATTACCATAATGAGGAAATGGTAAATGGTCATAATTCAGACAAACTTTGATACTGTTATACAGAGTACTTTTCCTTGAAATCCTACAGTTCTGGCCATCTTCATTCCAGATTTTTTTTTTTTTTTTTTAACCATATCATAATCAAATGGTCCACTAGGTTAGATTTTCCAGGACAGAGTGTTTGACTAAAGAGTCAATAATTCTTAGCAATAGCTTACAAATTAGTTTGACCAAAGTCTCAAAGATCCCAAGGCCAATCATTAGGGCTCAATCTCAGGCTGTAATAGTGTTTTCTGCAGAACAGTGGCTTTGAGTATACAGATATTTTCATATTTAGAATCTATTGTTGAAAGTCCTGTTTGAAAGTAGGAGTAGTAGCTGCATTTCTCCTTTCATGACAAATTTGACACTCAGGAGATAATAGCCTTATGAGAATAAATAGTATTCTCCATTTTCTTTGGCTGTCTATACCCACATGAAATTAAATATATGAAGGATATTTCAAAACATTCTGGAAAAATAAAATATATATATTAAAAAAAATAAACTTTAGCCAGTATCAGTCTTTGACAACAAAGTTAACCATTTTAACTATACAGCATAAATGTAGTTACAAACAAAATGTATGTATAGGAAAATGTTTCTTGCATTGTACATACTTTCTCCAGTGATGCCCTAGGGACTCCTGTAAAATATGTCATTGGTTGAATTATAACTATAACTTTAATGCAAATGGTAAACTAGAGCATTTTTTAAAATAGGACACGTACACGTTGTATGGTCTTTCAATTGTACTGTTTCTTTTGTGTGTGTGTATGTCTATGAGTCTGTCTATGTAGTTTTAGGTAGTTATAGAGATTAGATATTGGACAAGTAACTAGAAACTAACCAGATTTTCTTTGTTATAAAAAAGAAAATGATTAATTTTAATTGGATTTTTAGTTGAACAGTAAAACTGGGTAATAATTTACCCTATTCGGGGAAAATATGTACTGTGCTTTTCAGACTAAAAGTATTCTTTCTTGAGTGACCCAGTGTTAGCCTTTACTGCAGAAATAGATTTGTTTTGGTAGACCCCTGTAGCCAGCCACCTGCAGAGAGAAAGGAATTCTGCTAGAGAGAATTCTTAATACAGTAGGTAAATATTCTTTCATTTGGTGAAGATTTCACATATGATATTCTCTTACATTCAGCATAATTATAAACTTTGTTTTAATATGCTTTCAGAATAAATAAAAAATTATAAAGTTAAAAAGATAATTGTATATCCTTATTGAAAAGGTTTAGCCTATTCGAATCTAACAAATCTTCTCTGAAATACCTGAGAATAAGGTGTAAATGACTAAGAAATGAAAATACAGCAGAATGTACCAGATGTTTTTTATGTGTTGACTATACATATATCTTTCTCTGTTAGCTTTTAGTCGCAGACAGAGTGCAGTGTACATAATTTTATTCACAATAGATTGCTATGCATCATATATTCACATATGAATATAATTTCTCTGAAGATTGAAACAGGAAGATAGGAAAAGACAATATGGTGTATATGCTGAATTCTATATACAAGTAAATGTGAATAATATAGTTAGATGCTCTCTTCAAGGGGCTTCTTATCATTATCTCACTGGGCCATGTAGGGATTAATTGGTTAAAGTTTGTAGGCTCTTTGAAGCTAGGAAACACTACGGAAGTGCTAAGCATTATCATGGTAACACGAGAGTGAGGCATAAGTGATTTTCAACTTCATCAGCTCTTTGAAATCTGTGTCTAGTCTGATTCACAGTTTTCTCTTACAGTGTTTTATGGATTGCAATGTTCTTATCAGATTTGAAGATGAAATGTGTTCTATTGAAATCATACTAATCTGCACAATCTTTTTTCTATATATTAGTAAAGTGATGTTTCTCAAAATAGAAAACTCGAGATGTTATTTCAAAGGTAATTTAATAAAGTAGAATTTTCACATTAATTATAACTCGTCTATTATCATTTGATTGACTAAGCTGTAGCTCTCTTAATTAGTGCAACTAAAGTCTAGTCTAGTTAATTTGCATAAAGGTATTTATTCCCATCTTTTATAGTTTAAAAGACAGGAGACTATTCACTGATTCCATAAAGCTTATATAGATTTTATTAGCATGTTTCAATCATTTATCACTACAATAATGTCAATTCTAAAATGTAATTTTTATTTTTTGTAATTTCTTGGAATTACAGTGGGGACAGAGAAATTTAAAAGCAATTACTTCACAAAGCGATTCAAAGTTAAAGTAGCTGTTGTTCATTATAAAGTTATTTTGTTTCTGAATAAAATTTTTAAAAGTTATAAATACAAAACAACCTAATAAATACCAATTTAACCTCACTTAGAAATAACAGCTAATAATGCATATCTTGTCCTATTTATGCTACATTTTGTTACAACTGGGATACACCCCCTCAGGATCATTTCCTTTTCTCCATTTCCAGAGGTGCCATTATCATGAACCTGATATTACCTTTATATTTTCATAAATTTATCAAATACATATTTCTAAATAATACTATTTTGTGATTTTCCTCTTAACATTCTTGTTGTGAGCAACCCTTATTGATAGCATAGATCTCAGTCTACTGAATTCCATCATGTTCTTAATGTGTTTATCAAAATGCTACAGTAAAAATCTTTCTCTATGTCTCCAGGTGCACGTGTGAGAGTTTCAGATGAATATACTAGAAGAATGGCTGGACTGCAGTGTATATACGGTTTCACTTTGAGGGGACCAAATATCATTATTTGCTCCCAGGAGTACCACTTTATTTCTATTGTTCATTCGTCCTAATTGGCTTAATACGTGTCCTGTATTTTTCATTTTTAATGAACCATTATTATAAGTTACATTGATTAAATCCAGAATGGGTTTGTTAAATGTTCATTTTGTTTAATACTTACAGCTATTGTCATGGCTCTACCAGTATGTGAGCAAAATGAAATATTAACAGAATTGACTTCAATAGGGGGTTAAGTCTGAAAATTAACTTTTTCTTCCTGACCTATTTCACACTAAACATAGATAATGCTTCTCTTTCCAGGACAGCATGCAGAGTACTTGATAATAAACCAACATGCACTGAATCAGTGGTGGCTAAGGATGGCTAACTTTTTCCAATCTTGTATGGTGATGGAGGAAGTAGTTGACATACTTTCTGATGTGGTCCACTAACATGAAACTGCCAGACCATCATATGGTGGGTTTGGGAAAAATGAAAGAAGTAATAGGCTAGATATATGTAAATGATGTGCTGTAAATAGACCCTGAAGATGCAGAGAGGAGTTAATTACTCTGGCTACAGTGGTTTTGTCATCTCTCATATACCTACAACTGTTTATTTGTAAGTTGCTTGGTAATGACTACGTTTTAAAAAATAATCTGTTTCAGCAGCAATGACCTAAAATATGCAAGTACATATTTAGTTAAAACTTACTGAATTTTCCTTTCAATCCAATCATGAATTGAAAAATGCCAATAAATATATTGTACAATCATAAAACTTGTACAGTGTGTTTGTTGTAATTTTCAATTCAATCCAGGATTGGGACCACAAGGCTAAAAATGATATCCTGAAATCCAGAAGATAGAAAGCTGAGGGGGAAAAACTGCTGTTATTTCAATAGTGAATACTTAGCTACTTTAAGAAAACTATGCCTGAAGATGACATTTTCACAGATTTAATATGTGAACTTGGATAAAGTAAGCATATAACACTGAGAAGCATGGCTTTGTATTTAAATTACTGTTTTTAAAATAAATTGTGTGCATTTTAATTAATCTAATTTTTTCTGCATTTATGAAATATATGCATCAATAATTGTTAGTGTGTTAGCTCCATTAGCAACAGAAGAAATTTTTTATTTATTTTATTTTATTTTTATAGTTACACTTTAAATTCTGGGGTACACGTGCAGAATGTGAAAGTTGGCTACATAGGTATACATATGCCATTTTGGTTTGCTGCATCCATCCCCCTGTCATCTACATTAGGTATTCCTCCTAATGTTATCCTTCCCCAATGCCCCCACTCCCTGCTATCCCTCCCCTAGCCCCCACAACTCCCAACAGGCCCCAATGTGTGATGTTCCCCTCCATGTGTCCATGTGTTTTCATTGTTCAACACCCACTTTTGAGTGCAAACATGCAGCGTTTGGTTTTCTGTTCTTGTGTCAGTTTGCTGAGAATGATGGTTTCCACTTCATTCATATCCCTGAAAAGGACATGAACTCATCCTTTTTTATGGCTGCACAGTATTTCATGGTGTATATATGTGCTACTTTTTCTTTATCTGATCTATCACTTATGGGCATTTGGGTTGGTTCCAGGTCTTTGCTATTGTAAACAGTGCTGCAATGAACATTCGTGTGCACGTGTCCTTATAGTAGAACGATTTGTAATCCTTTGGATTTATACCCAGTAATGGGATTGCTGGGTCAAATGGAATTTCTATTTCTAGGTCCTTGAGGAATCGCCACACTGTCTTCCACAATGGTTGAACTAATTTACACTCCCACCAACAGTGCAAAAGTGTTCCTATTTCTCCACATCCTCTCCAGCATCTGTTGTCTCCGGATTTTTTAATGATCGCCATTCCAACTGGCCTGAGATGATGGTATCTCAATGTAGTTTTGATTTGCATTTCTCTGATGACCAGTGATGATGAGCATTTTTTCATATGTTTGCTGGACTCATGTATGTCTTCTTTTGTAAAGTGTCTGTTCATATCCTTTGCCCAATTTTGAATGGGCTTGTTAGTTTTTTTCTTGTAAATCTGTTTTAGTTCTTTGTAAATTCTGGAGATCAGCCCTTTGTCAGATGGGTAAACTGCAAAAATTTTCTCCCATTCTGTTGGTTGCCGATTCACTCTAATGACTGTTTCTTTTGCTGTGCAGAAGCTGTGGAGTTTGATTAGGTCCCATTTGTCTATTTTGGCTTTTGTTGTCAATGCTTTTGGTGTTTTGGTCATGAAGTCCTTGCCTACACCTATGTCCTGAATGGTTTTGCCTAGATTTTATTCTAGGGTTTTTATGGTGTTAGGTCTTATGTTTTAGTCTTTAATCCATCTGGAGTTAATGTTAGTGTAAGGTGTCAGGAAGGGGTCCAGTTTCTGCTTTCTGCACATGGCTAGCCAGCTTTATTGAACAGGGAATCCTTTCCCCATTGCTTGCTAATTTTAATTTTCAAATGATAAATATAAAGAAGTTATTTTTCTGTTTTGCTTCAAGGTAAGTAATTTTGGTTTTACATTTTTGAAGGCTTTTCTTTTCTTTTTTTTTGAGACAGAGTCTCATTCTGTTGCCCAGGCTGGAGTGCAGTGGTGTCATCTCAGACTGTAGTTTATGCACACATCTATGTCTTTAGTTCATGAACAGCCTGGTCAAGATGTTGAAACCCCAGGGTTTCTACTAACCTCGTGATCCACCTGTCTCAGCCTCCCAAAAGGCTGGGATTACAAAGT